TCAATCCATACCTCACACTATATACAAAATCAACTCAAAATAAATTGTAGACAGATAAAGAAAAACTAAAAATATAATTTTTATTTTTATTTTCCTAATATGATGCATTACATTAGCATCACTAGACTTTGGTGAAATGCAAATCAAAACCACAATGAGAAATGATTCACACCAATAGGAGGGCTGTAATCAAAAAAACATAATAAAAATAAAAAATAAAATAAAAATAAAATAAAAATGGCTGGCAAGGATGTAAAGAAATTGGAAATCTTATGCATTACTGGTAGGAATGTAAAATGGTGCAGTCACTTTAAAAAAACTGATCCACATATGAGTGAAACCATATGATAATTGTCTTTCTCTGCTTATTTCACCTAGCATAATAAATTCTACTTAGAATATTAGCTGTATGTTCACAGCTGAGAAATTACACATTAAAATAAATGTTTGCTATGTCTGAAAAAAAAACCATTTGACAGTTTCTCAAAAATGTTAAAAATAGAGTTGCCATATGACCCAGAAACTCCATTCCTAGGTACAATACCTAAGAGAAATAAAACCATATCTTCACACAAAAACTTGTACATACATTTCATAGCAGCATTATTTATGATAAGAAAAAGGGGAAAAAACCCATGTGGCTTTCAACTGATGATTGGATGAATAAAACTATAAAACTTCTTGGAATAAACATAACAGAAAATAGTGGGGGGCCTAGGGTGCAAAATTTAAGGACCTCCTCACTCTCTGGGACTTGCACAACTTTTCAAGTGAGGTCCTCCTTAAATTCTGTGCCCTAGGGTCCTCATCTCCTCACTGTAGTGTAGACTTTGGGAGAAATGCTTAATGATTTGGGGATAGGCAAACATTCTTACAAATGACATCAGTAGTAAGATCCTAAAATTTTTTAACATGATGATCAGAACTTCGTTAAAATAAAAAACTTTTGCTCTTTGAAAGATTCTGTTAAGAGAATGAAAGACAAGTCACAGACTGGAAAAAAAAATAATCTAGAATGTATAAAGAATTTTCAAATCTCTATTAAAATCTCAGTTAAAAATAGGCGGGAGATTTGGACAGATACATAACCAAAGGATGGGGCAAAATATGAAAAATGCTCAACATCATTATTTAGTAGGTACATGCAAATGAAATATGATACATCCATATAATAAAATGTTATTTGCTATTAAAAAGGAATGAAGTACTGATGCATGCTATCATTTGGATGAAACTTGAAAATGATATGCTACATGAAAGAAGCCAATCACAATATATCACACATTCTATGATTCCATTTACATGGAATGTCCAGAATAGGAAAAGTCTGCAGAGATAGAAAGTAGTTTAATGGTTGCCTAGCCTTGGAGAAGGGGAGGATAGAGAGTGACTGTCAGCTGGTAGGTGGTTGCTTTTTGGAGTGTTGAAAATAGGATTAAATAAATTATGGCAATGGTTTCAAACTCTGTGAATACACTTAAAATATTGAATTGTAAACTCTAAATTATAGATTGTATAACATGGCAATTATACCTAAATACATTTTTTAAAAAATATCCAGGAGACTTCTGCTCAGGACAAGATCACACGGACTTTTTTGCCCAAGTTCCTTCCTACTAAGTACAACTATAAACCCTGGAAATAACTTCAGAGCAAACTGAAGGAGAATTCTGAAAGATCAAAGAGGAAGGTGTACCGTACTGGTTTGGGATCCCAGGACTGGAGAAACAGGACAGTATCAAGACATCCTATGTCCTCTCACCCAACAGAAAAAGGTGACCCAGGCCTGACAATTCCTGAATGCCAGCTTCATTTTAGCAACAGAAGGTAACCCAGGAAGTCTCATCCTTCCTCTAGATCAAAATGGAAGTCCCACCTACAACAGGTGAGCCAGGCAGCACTACATATCAATAGCAGAAAGATAACAGAAAACTTTTAAAACACTTGGAAACAAAATTAACCTTCTAAATAATCCATGGGTCAAGGAGAAAGTCTCAAGGGGAATTAAAAAAATATATTGAACAGAATGAAAATACGACATATCAAAACTTGTGGTACACTGTGAAAGTACTGAATGCTTACATTACTAAGTTCCTACCTCAAGAAATCGGAAAAGAAAGGAAAGAAAACCAGAAAAAAGCAGAAGGGAGGATGTATTTGAGGTGAGTTAGAGTCAAAAGAAATGGAATATGAATGAGTGGAGAATTAGAGAAGGAGATGACCTGGGGCATGTGAAAGGATTGCTGAGTGGCCTGGGGAACAAGCTCAGGTTGGAAATTTTAACTATTAGGTGCACCAATATGTGGAGTGCTACTCCTTTCTCTCACAGTGGTCATTATGAGATTGGAGAGATCAGATTTTTGGAGGACCTCAAACCTGCGACTAGCACAGATGTGGTATTTGAAGAGCAGGGGGTTGAAGATGCGGTCAGTTCTAAATCAATATACTGTGAGATATGGCTGGATAAGAAAAGAAATAAAGAGGAAAGGAAGGGCTCGAGGTATTAGGCACCTCAATGAGGCCAAATAGCAGATGACTTGGGACCCAGCCACTGATAGGAGATTCAAGTCACAGTGGGATATTGAAATTGAGTCTTCAGAAGTCCAGTCATGCCCAGCGATGCCAAGTGGCTGGGGGTGGTTGAAGTGCTAAGAAGCGAAAGGGCAGGGTGGTGAAGCCAGAGTGTATGGAATGGGTCTTCCATGTGGTTATTGTTGAGGTCCACCTAGGATGAGGACAGGACTTGGAGTGTTGAGGAAGCCTACTGAAATCGGCCTTAGAGTATGGGAAAGAGTGAGGATAATACCCACATCTACTCACCACTCTCAGCTCAAACCCTCTGGTTAGCAGTCAGCACTGGGGAGGAAAGTTAGAAAAACAATAAGATCAGGAAAAAATCTGGTTTCAGGGAAAGCCAGGAATTAAAAGCAATGTTTTGAAACTACTTTTCAGCTTATCTGGCTTGTGTGTTGGTTTTTAAGCCGAGCGGGGAAAGCACAGGCAAACTCTTCTGGGGACACATTTTACTCTTTTAATCCCGTAAAGTTCTGGGAATGGCAGTCAGAAGGTTTATCTGAATATTAATCCAGATCTCTGACTTCAAGCAAGTTGTTTCCCAATAGAAGCCCTTGTGTGACCATTTATATAACAAAAGAGTTGGAATGGATGAGCTCTGTATTTCCCAATGGCTTTAATATCTATGGTCCCTAGATACAAATGCTAGGGTCCACCTGACATAGCAGTTACTGTCTAACACCTTGTCCTATCTAGAGAGAAAGGACCTAGGAGGAAGGAACATGAGACTTGCTTGTTGAAGTGCAAATCCCATCCAAAAAACTGCCCAAAGATATCACCATGCATCTTCTTGTCAGAGGAAGAATTCTGAAATGGATGGCCCAGCACAATCTAGTGGTTTAACACTCCAGCTTTGGAGACTGGCTGTTTTCCACTAACCAGATGTGTCATTTGGGCAGATTATTTGACCTCTCCGTATCTCATTTTCTTCAAGACAAAAATGAGGATTACAGTAGCATGTATCTCAAAGAGTGGCAAATATTAAATAAAAGGATGTATGTAAAGCTTCAAACCCAGTGGCAGATACTTTGGAAGAACTCGGTATGTGTCAACTATCATCATAATAATGATTATAATTATTATGGGAGGGAGCCAGTATTACATTTCTGCTCTCTATAAAACTCTATGCAAGGATATATCCTAAAGCAAAGTGTGCAAAAATAAATAATACACATTTCACTTTCTGGGGCCCTGTCCCTGATACGGGAAATTTCCAAGCATGTCACGAAGTCTTAAGTTTTCAAGAAAGGTTGAAGTTCCCATCAATCAAACCGCTGCATGTTCTTCTCTTACCCCTAAAAATCATAGATTTCTAGATGTTTTCAGGTTTTCATTTTTCACTGGTCCAAGGGGAATTTCTCAGTTGAGAACATCTAGCTATCTTTCCCTTTATTCCCCTCCTTTCCCCCTTTAGAGGCCTTTCTTTTAAGCTTTATTCTTTCCCCTACTTCTCCTTCATCCCTCCTTAACCATTTATTCTACTTTAACTCTTCAACTACAGTTCTTCCCCTGTCTTCCATTTTACTCCTTTTTACTGCCCCTTCCTCTTTATCCCATATCCCTCCTCCCCTTTGTTCCATGTCATCCCTCCATCCCCTTTATTCCCCATCACCCCTCCATTTTATCCTCTGTCCCTCCCCTTTATTCCATGTCACCTGCCCGTTACCTCTGCCTCTTTATTCCCCGTCACCCCTGCTTTTTATTCCCCATAACCCCTTTTGTCCTCATCACATCCACCCCTTTATCCCACAACACCCTTCCCCTTTATACCCCATCACCTCTGCCCCTTTATTCCCCATCACCCCTCCCTTTTATCTCATGCATTCTACTTTAACTCTTCCATTCTCTTTATTCAACCACAGCTCTTCCCATCTTCCATTTTACTCCTTTTTACTCCCCATCACCCTCTTCTTTATCTCATACCCTTCTCCCCTTTATTCCATGTCACCCACCCCCCTTTATTCTCCATCACCACCTCTTTATTCTGCATCACCCCTGCTTTTTATCCCCCATAACTTCCCTTTGTCCCCATCACCTCCATCCTTTTATCCCACATCACCCTTCTCCTTCATACCCTATCACCTCCTCTTTATTCCCCATCATCACCCCTTCCCTTTTGTCCTTATCACCTCCACTCCTTTATTCCACATCATCCTTCCCCTTTATTCATTACCCCCTCCCCTTTATTCCATGTCATCTCACCCAGTTATTCCCATCACCCCTCCCCTTTATTCCACATCTCCCCCTCTGCTTTATTCCATTCCTCCCCCTCCCATTATTCCATGTGACCCTCTCTCCTTTATTCCTCTTCCCTACCTCTCTTTCCCCTTCAGCTCCAATCAGAGCTTCCCAACTCACCAACACAATATTCAAATTAAACACACACACACACACACACACACACCACACAGAGTAAGCCATGAATATGCTGCTGTCACAATACAGATGTTTATTAATGATTAAATGCCAGAGAAGTTTTAACAATCACAAATCTTCGAGCTCTGCGGTTGTTATCCATTGTGTGATCAATTTCTATCCCTCAATACAATACATTCTTCATTCTATGGACCTTGGCAGTTGTTACCCATCAATATCAGCTATAATTTTGGATGTCATACATAACCCATATCTGTGTGTTACCAGAGCATGTCCCGCAAATTTGTACCGTCCTGCATAGAGGAACTACAGAGACGATAGTTAAGAACATTTGTAATCAGGTGACTTTAGCTACTTGGAACTATGTGTTTCTACCTAACTAGCTGTTTTGCTGACAACAGGATGTGAACTCCAGCTGTCTGTAAAACAGATCTAGGTAATAAAATCAAATTTTTCCTCTAATTTTTGATCCCAGAAGGCTAGTTAGGCTTACATTTGAGGTTTCCCTGTTAGCGTGACCTGAGCCAAACTGCACAGAATTTTGAGAGTGGAATTTTGAGCCATTGGTCTAAATAATTTGGGGGGGGAATCCTGAGGTGGTGGAGTTGCTGCGGGGACACGGCTATGAGTTGGTGTGACATGGTTTAGCATTAATTATTTGTCAGCTGTCAGTAGGCTGACCTAACGTCCTAACATGCCTCTTGAGGGCCTTTCCAATTGAGCTCTCGGGAGGAGGGAAGGAAAGTCAGGAAAAACATGCAATTCCCTTTTGGGGGGAGGGAAAGCACCTCGAGATTTGTGAGCTTCTCTGGGACAAGTTATTTACCACAAATGTCACATCAATTAAAGGAAGGGCTGCAGTGTGGGAAAGCCAAGATCAGGGGTAAAAGAGAAAGGCAAGGTAGCACCAGGGAGCCTGGGCATGACACAGAAACATCTCTGCTTTTACTAGCTAAAGGGACCAAACATCCCCAGTGAAGGGGCTGGCAGTGTGTTTGGAATTCTCAGCCTGACCCGAGCATCAGGTGGAAATCCTTCTTACCCTCAGATCTTTACCTTCAACATTCTCCTCAATGTTTCCTGTGACATCCCAGGTCTACCCCCACCCTTTTCCCCCGTCCGGCACCTTATAGAAGGAAAAAACATCTAAGGAAAGAAGTAGCCAATGCCAGTTTTGGCCTCCTTCTCCCGGGGCACACGGAGCAATGGGCGGTCTTGCTCTGGAATGGGGGGGTTACCCGCTCCTTCCTCATCGTCATGGGAACGGGCAGTGCCGGGAGGCACAGCTGGCTCCTCAGAGGAACCTGGAAAATAGTAACAATGTTAATTCCTTATGTTTCTAGACTTCATACTTTGCACAGCACCCAAGGGACTAGGACCTAATTTTGCCCTTCAAATACAATACGAGGTAAGAAGTTAGAATAGGAATGAGTATCCCCATTTGACATGTTAAGAAAACCGCAGCCTAACAGTAGAACATAGATCTCTAAATCTAGGCCCACTGTGGAAGGTTTTGGGGGTAGGGCTGAGTTAGAGAACAGAAAGAGTGAGACAGATACCCCGTGCTCAGAGCAAAAGGACAATACCGCCAGGAAGGCGGGGAAGAGGGCAGCCTCCTAACAACCACCACCACCCTACAAGCAGCCTGACTAATTTCACGAGGCAAATGAGTAACAAAGCTGGAGCCGGAAGTTTACAGCACTTCATGGAGGGAAGAAAGCAGGTGTTGGTCATCAATGACTCTGGGGAGGACTCGTGGTTCATTACTTGGCCAGGCCGAGACTTGTTTTTAAGGAGTGTGGTATCTACAGGAAACATAACATATCCATCTTCTTTATGGATTGCCTTTGGACTCCAAACTTCTTTGGAGTCAAGATCGTTAGGTATTGGGACAGCTTCCACATTGATGATTTCTTCAAGACTGGCAGCCAGGTCTGGCTGAGGGTCTGGAATTGTGCTGAGAATGGAGATTTCTTCAGGCTCTGGAGCCAAATTGCTACCTTCGTCCTCTTCAAAAGTGTTGGCTTGGTCTTTCTGAGAACTGGGAATTTCACTGTGAACTTGAGCATCCTCAGGCTCTGGAACCACATTAAGAACTGAGTCTTTTTCAAGATTGAGGTTTTCTTTAGAGTCTTGGATTCCACTGACATCAGAAGCTTCTTCGTGTCCTGGGATTTCTTCAGCATCTGAGGCTCCTTCACTGTTTGGGACTCCACTCACATCTGAGGATTCTTCCTGGTCTTGCATTTCATCAAAATCGGACACATCTTCAGGGCTTGTTACCACATGGAGAGCTGGGACCTCTTCAGGGTTGGAGTTTTCTTCAGAGCCTGCAATTCCATTGACTTCTGGAGTTTCTTCCTGATCTGGAATTTCTTCAGTATCTGAGGTTTCTTCATCATTTGGAACTCCATCAAGAGTTGGCACCTCTTCAAGGTGGGGATGTTCTTCAGAGTCTGAGAGTCCATTAACCTCTGGGGATTCTTCATGATTTAGGATTTCATGACTCCCAGGGGCTTCTTCAGGGCTTGGCACCACATGAAGAGCTGGGACTTCTTCAAAATCAAGGTCTTCATCAGAATCTGAAATCCCATTGACTTCTGGGGTTTCTTCGTGGCCTGGACTTTCTTCGGCATTTGAGGATTCATCATTTGGGATTTCACCAAGAGCTGGGACCTCTTCAAGACTGGGATCTTCTTCAGAATCTGGGTTTTCATCATTACCTGAAGCATCTGCGTGGTCTGGGATTTCGTCAGTGTCTGGGGCTTCTTCATTGTTAGGGATTACATGGAGATAGGGAATTTCTGCGAGGTCAAGATTTTGGTTGTCTTCAAAATCTGGTCCTTCTTCAAGGTCGGGGTTTGGGTTTTCTCCAAGATTTGGGATTTCTTGCACATCTAGGGCTCCTTCAGGGTCTGGGACCATATCAAAATACGGTATTTCTTCAAAGTCTGGGATTTCAATGAGTTCAGGAACTTCATCATCAGGGTCTAGAATATCTTCAAGGGGAGGAAAATCATCAAAATTCAGGGTATCATCATCATCATCGTCATCATTGTCATCATCATCATTGTCATCATCATCTTCATCAAGCTCTGGGATGCCTTTGAGATGTGGGCCTTGAATCTCAAGGTCATTTGGGATCTCGACACCTTGAACTTCCCCAAGGACTACTCCTTGATTGAGATACTCAAATACTGGCTCTTCATGGACTGACACATCTGCCTTAGAGGATTCATCTTCCTCAAGGGGCTCATCTTCAGCAAGGACCTGGCCTTCAGGAAGGGCCTGACCTTCACCAAGGGACTGACCTTCACCAAGGGCCTGACCTTCACCAAGGGCCTGATCTCCAGCAGGGAACTGACCTTCATCAAAGGGCTTGCTCTGAGCAAGGACAGCAGCCCGGGCTTCAGCAGAATTTTCCACTGGATCAGAAAGTAAAGCATCCTCTTCCATCTTTATGCGCGCACTCCTGGATTGGAATGAATTTGAAAAAGCAAGTCAGTTTTTATATTTAGGTTGTCCAACATGATGGTGGTCTGGGATTAGAAGCCCCCACAGGCAATGCTGCTTCAGGCTAAGCTTAAACAAACCAAGAAAACACTCACTGGATCTTCCTCAAATTCCTGCGTCTGATAAAATCCAGGGCTTCAGGACTGGATTTCCACACACGCTTAGCAACCTGCTTCTGAATATGGGGAGGCACCTGCGGGTAAAATGAGCAATATTAGCCTTTATTGCATGACATTTTTAAATTTAGACTCATCTCTATCAGGTACCCAGAACTGAAGGCACCATGACCAGCTAATACAGGAGGAATTTCTGGGAGATTTGGTGGCTGCCTGCTTTGGCTACCCTCAGGGATGCATGTACGTCTCTCCCTTGCCTTGTTAATAGGAGAGAGAAAGCTGTGAAGTAACTTTTTCCAGAGGTTCCATTTACCTGGAAGAGGATATCCCAGTTATCAATCATGGCACGGACCACATTGACAGAAGCAACATAGTGGTCAATCCCCAGTCTTGTCTTTCTGGACTCCCTCTTGGCAAATCTCCCCTTCTTCAGGAGAGCAGATCCAAACACCAGAGCCAAATTGGTGGAAGTCATACGGTTGCCTGAAACCTATGAAAAGGAAAGCAGAAAGTGATCGACTCTGAGGTGGTGATGGTAATGACACAAATAAATGTGTCTCTTTTTGTTCTTGTTTCCCTCTCCTACTGTGTGTCTCTGTCTCTCTCTCGTATACTCCCACACATGTCCCCTACTACTCTCATTACCCTTTTCCAGAGTTTTGTTTTGTTTGTTTGTTTGTTTGTTTTACCAATTGTCCATCAATGCCAATGGAGTCCTCGCAGTTCTCAGTGATTTTATGCAGGGCCTTCAGCAGACGCTCCAGGGTGTCACTATGGCAGGGTGGCATCAGGTAAACCAGCAGTTGCAGGGCAGAAAGCTGATCCTGCGGCTTCAGAGCTAGAAGAAGGAAAACAGGGGCTGGCTCAGGGGGCTAGCCTCGGCAGCAGCCTGATACCAAGAGAGAGGTGATGATGCTTGAAAACTGAGGAAGGCTATGGAGAAAGTACCCAGGCATTTTGTCTTTGCTCATTCCCAAAGCATTTGAGCTCAGGAACCCTAAAAGCAAGAAAGTGCTCCCATCAAAATCAGACCCCTTCTATAGAACCTAGGTTCTTCTTTGCCCTGAGAGGGCACACACAGCTTCAAGAAGCTCTAGAGAAATTTCCAAACAATAGACTTATAATGGAATATGAAAAGATGCAAGGAAAGCAGTCTGGATTCTGGTGTTTATTCTGTTTTAGTTCCTTGGGGTCCTGCAGCCAGAGCTCTGTCCCGAGACCCCCACACCCCCATATTACTTCCTTTCTTTGCCTGAGAAGAGAGAGCAGAAGACTCACTTGCTGTCAGAAGGAAGGACATATACAGATCATCTGGCAGCAGAGAGTCCTTCATGTCACGGAAAAACTCCTTGAGGAGTGCAGCCACATCATGCACGTTCTGAGTGTCATCCAGCACGACGTCCAGACCTTGATCAAATTCTTCACGGAGCTAGGAAAAAGGGAGAGAATAAATGGACCCTCTGCCCTGCCCACCACAGGCCACCTCCTGTCTAATGCTTCAGTGGCAGTAGCTGGCAATATGGTGTGCCTGAGGGGTTAGAAAGACCTTGATTCCCCCCACACACACCAGGCATGAAACTCCCCTCAGGACCGTGGGGAAGACCCCCCCACACACACACCTGCTTTTCCTCACTCAAGGAACATAAGTATAAACATAACCAATTTACCTCACGCACTCTCTCCTCCGAGTATTCCAGGGTGAAAATCCCCACAGTGCTTAAGCCTGAAAGAGAAGACCAAGGGATGCTAAGCATCTCTGATCCCCTTCCCCACCGCATTTCCCCCTCCCCAGCTGAATTCCAACCCCAGCTGGTGGCAGGGGAATGTTCCCATCCTCAAACCCGTGACCTCTTTTCTCTCCCCATTTCTAGAACACCATTCTTTCCCTTTAATTGCCTCCTACTTTGATTTAACCATCATTTTCAGGTCCCCTTACCATGTTTTTCAATGAAGCTGCAGCAAGCCTCAACAACCTGGGGGATTTGTTTAGCAATCGGATTGAGGCTCATCTTCCTTTTGGATCCCAGAAGTCGCTGGCCAATTGGAAAGGAAATCTTGGAAAGTTGCAGGGTCTGCAGCAGCAGGGCCCCGTCCTCCAGTTCGGCCAGGCTGTCCACAGATACTGCACCCTGTGGAGAAACCCAGACTATCTTAAAAATGGGGGCGGGGGGCGCAGGAAGGTCTTTTCAGACCTTCCTGAGGATTGCGTCACATTCATAACAGGAGACAGTCTCTTCGTGGCAAGCCAATTACAGGGCTCCAACGTGTTCTGTTCACCTCCCCCTTCCTCTGAGGACACGGGTCTTGACCCTCCCCCCCTCCCCCGCACCCCTGGATGTCTCAGTTAGGGCCACTGCCTGAAACCTGGAGGGTTGTTTAACTCACTCGACGCCCACGGCGAGTAAACTCCCGGGGCAAGGAGGGCTCATCCCGCCTGCGACTGAAAAAGCGCCTGATGCGGCCAAACATCCTTTGCACCACGTTTCCCCGACGACGGCCCGCAGCCTGACCGGTGGATTCTTCAATCTGCATGGCGGCTGTTAGTTCAAGATGCTTGCGGCGGGTAAGCTCATTCACCAGCACCTCTTCCAGACGAATGCCAAAAGTCTTGAGTGATACGACTGGGGAGCCAGGGAGAGAAAGAATGAGAAACGTCAACGCTCCGCAGCACTTAAATCAGGAGGAACTGCAGGGGCTGTGGCATTCCTCTCAGCAACCGTCCGCAGCCAACCCCACCCCTCCAGACCCGCAGCCTCCCTCCCCGAGGAGTGAGCCAAAAAGACCCTGCAGTGGTTTGGCGGAAGGACTCAGCTCCACTCAAACTACCCCGACGGAGCTAAAGGTCCCTGCCTTAAGTCCTGCCAGGGGGGCGACAGCCTCGAAGCAATGAGGGCAATTTCTTCTGGGCGATCCCTCTGGGGTGCGTGCACCGGGAAGGCTTAGGCAGATCAGCTAGGACCGACCCGTGCCTGCAGCTAGTGCGCCATTTCCTGAAATCATCCCCTACAGGGCTGGGTGGGGGAGTAGTGCCCCCAGAAGCAGTGGGCCCCGCCCAGCCTCCAGTAGCCAGGGACACAGTATGGGAGGTTGGGGGGTGGGCAGTATCCCATTTAGTTCCTAAGAAAATAAGAGAGCCCCTCACCCCTCTGCTGTCCTCTCAGAATCAGAAACCACTTCTCAAAGGTGTTTGGACGGTCAATAGGTAGAGCTATGGGAAGAGAAAAAGAAAAGACACGCACGCTCACACAAAAAGGATTTAATAAATGTCGAAAACATTGCAATGCATTGATCCGCAGGGAGGGGGGTGGCAAACAGCTGGGTCCAGCACCCTGAAAGTGTTGTGCTTTCTCCCAGCCTCAGTTTCCCCGTTTGACAACGGGACCCAAGCCTATCCACCACACCTGAGTCTCAAAGAATTTAACCAGATCAGACGATTGGAGGCGCCGCGTGCGCACCGCACACCGTGTCACGCACGGCAGTAGCTCCACACAAGGCTTCAAGCCTCAGTTGAAGGCTCTGTGGCGCCGGAACAGTGCAACAGGCTAGGGGAGGGGCTCCGCCTGCGGCGCGGCGGCAAGTAGGGGTCTCCAAGTTCCTGCGGGCGCGCTCGCGCCCCGGCTGCCGTCGGCTCCCCTCGCCGCAGCCCGAGAAGCGGCGATTTGCGCCGTCCCGACGCTCAGACCCCCGCAGCGGGGTCTCCTCGACCCTCGCACGAAGCCCTCAGGCCGCTGCCGTGGCCGCTGTCTCTGCGCTCGCCGGGCGAGCCCGCCGCCCCCCGCACTTTTCACTGCCGCAGGGGCGCCCCTCGGCCTGCGCACCCCCTCCCGCCTCCCCTGGGCCTCCGAGTCCGCTAGCACCCTCGCCCCCCCCCCACACGCTCGGACCCCATCCAGGGCTTTGTCCCGCTCGTTCACCCGCAGCGGGCTGAGGTGGGCAGCTCTCGCAGCGCACCTCCAGCCGACGCTCCCGCGCCCGCACAGCCCTCCCGCTCGGAGCCCGGATTGGCGCGTGTCTCTCCCACTGTCTCGCTATCTCCCTGGACTCGCCGTCTCTCGAGCGCGCCGTCTCTGTGCGTTCCAATCCCTCCTCAGAGTGTCCCTCTGAGCCTCCGCCTCGCTCTGACTCGTTCGCGCACCGCACCTGGTGCGTCAGTCTCTTCACCTGCCCTCTGTCCACCTGTCTGTCCCTGCCGTCCGCCCGCCTGTCTGACCGCCCCTCAAGCCCCCCAGTCTTCAACCCAACTCCACTAATCTTGACCTCTCCCACAATTCAAACACCCTTCAACTCCCGCTTCCTCAGTTGTCGGGACGCCCGGGGACCGGAGCGGGAGCCCCTCCCACCCTCCTGGACCCCAGATTCGGCCCTTCCCGCCCGGGGGTCCGCTCGCCGGAAGACGGGGACGCCACGCTCCGGGCGGCTCACCTCTGTCAGGTTTGAATTCAGAGAGGAAATGTCTGGCCACGAGTTCGTGGTAAGCAGTCTCTTGCAGCTTCAGACGCTCCAGCTCCGACAGGCTGTGTATTGATATCATCTTCGTCCTGCGGTCCGGATTGTGTCCTGGGGCTCCTCCCAGGACGTTCACTAAAAAAATGAAGACGGACAAAAACAGCAAAGGGGGCATGATTCTGGGGCACAGTGTCCTTGCTGCCTTCAGAAAAGGAATGCAGCCACCCATTCTGGAATCGGATGATTATCAAGGCTGCATCATCCAATTGCCACTGGACCTGGTGGAAGGAGCTTTGGGGGGGGTGGGGAGGGTGGCAAAGGGGGAGGGAAAACTGGGAGGCGGCTTCACCCTCAAGGAGAGCTGCCTCTGGTTGCTTATTTAAAAAGAAAAAAAAAAAAAAAAACTTTAAAAAAAATCAGCCCTGAACCGACAATCGAAAAGAGAAAACCCAGTTAGGAAAAAAAAAAAAAAAAAAAAGACAGAAAACAAAACAAAAAGGGAAAAAAGAAAAAAGAAGGAAAAAAAGATTAAAAAGAAAATCAACCAACCTTATTCACAATTTTAAAATGTACACTGAGGCAAGAATAAGGTAATATTGTCCATCAATTAATTAGAACAGTGATGGAGTTCATTTTTATTTTTTAATGATACTACTCTATGCTGTCCAGGTTGGATGAAATTTGGACACATCCATCTAGGTTAGGAGCACTGAAAATTTGTACAACTCTTCCAGAAAGCAACCTGAACACCTAAGTATGGAGCCAAATATCATCCCAAGGCCCTTTGACCCAGTAATTCCCTTCTAGGAATCTATCCTAATGAAATTTTCCTTTGGACAGGAAAAACCATATGTACATGAGCCATAACAGGAAAACATGTAAGGGGAAAAAGGTAGCCCAGCAACAAGGCTAGTTATATAAATTATGGAATGACCACAGTCTGGAAAATTATGTAATCATTAAAGTGATGTTTACAAAGAGCTTTTAAAGAGCAAACAGAAAATATAGAATTGTATTAATTATGATTATAACCATGTGAAGGAAAACATGCATAAAAGTAAAAGACTGAAAAAATGCACCCCAATATGAATAGCATCTGTATTAAGTGGTAGGATTTTGTTTGCCTTTTGCCTTTCTCTATTTACCAAAAATCGTGCAACTTGATTATATGATTCTTTTTTCGTGAACAAAACATCAGTTTGTACCAAAACAAACAAACATCATTTCGAGGCCATTTCTAGTGAGACTCCCTACTACAGGATTGGATGATCAGAGTGAAGTTTGTCTTAGTGTATTGGCAAACCTGTTTTATATGTCCCTTCTCCATGGTACCCACCATCTCAAACTGCTCCTGGGCTACATAGGATCCCTCAGTGGGGATCTCCCTGGACCCCATACAGCATTCTTTCCTGCACATCCTGGCCTCTGTTACTCATTTATTCTTTCATTCATTCATTTTTTAAAAATCTATATGAACTACCCACTTTGTGCCAGGCACTAAAGATTCGAATATGAGCAAGATAATACTACTCTTTTCATAAAGGATCTAACAGTGCAGTGAAGGAGACATACAGGGTGGCAACAATTTACGAAACCTTGTGATAAGTCAATGGCCAAGATATAATCAAAGTACTGTGAGAGCAGAAAGGAGGAAACATCTAAGTCTGCCTGGAGACAGCGGTGGGGCGGGGGGAGTCCAGAAAGAGAGCAGCTTGTGCAAAGGCAGAGAGATGGGAGAGAGGTTGTTATATTCTTAAAGCTGTCTAAAGGGAATGGAAGGAGACAAATCTGCAGAGGCAGGGATGAGCTCAGGAATGGCCCTGAAAGCCATGTTATGGAGCTGGACCCTTCTCCTAAAGGCAGTAGGGAACTACTGCAGGGTTTTCAGTGGGAAGTAACAGAGTTGCGGTTGGAAAAAGCATAGGGAGCAGTGAAAAGCCTGGTTTGGGTAGAGAGTCTGAAGTAGGTAGATCAGCCAAGAGGCAAAGAGATGTTGATACAAGCCAGTGTCACTGGAGCTAGGGCAGGGGATGGATTTTATGGGTAGAATTGATGGAACTTAGGGGAATTGTAATAAAAAGGAAAGAATTTAGGATAGCTCCAAAGGTTATGGTTTGGGTGAGTGAGTGGATGCTGGTTCTTGACAGAGAAGATAATTTGGGGGAACTAAACCTTTTGACAAGAAGGGAAATGGTCATATGCCATTTTTTTTCTGAGCCCCCGTTTGCCATTGGAGTTTTATGGTAATATTCTACATATTATAATCGAGTTGGGGGGGGCTTAAATTCCAATGATCAGGTAATGTGGCTTTAACAGAGGAAAAGTAGGTAGGAGTTTATCATTCAATAATCTAATAAATGAGCTCTGTCCAAAAAGAAACACACAAACAAACGCACAGACCCACAAAAATCCCACCCCTCTTCTGTTTCCAAAATTCACTTTTGCCCACTTTCCTTAATGGCCAAAAGTCATGCATGTCAATAATAAATTCCTGCCAGATAACTGAAGTGCAGTATGAGAAAAGACGAGGAGTCTTTCTATGGCTTCGGAACTGAGCTAGGAGGAAAATCCTTAGCATGGATTTTTTTTAAAGCTATTTCAACTGCAAAGCACCATCCCCTGGACCCAAGGTGAATGCCCAAGCCCAACCACCAAACTGCATCCACAAAAATGATCATTTTAACCAAAGATATATGCACAGCACCCACCTCAGTCCCAGACTGAGTCTCTAGCAAGCCCCCATTCACAATAGCAGGTCCAAAACCTAGTAGCCCAGGGTCTCATCCTAACATATACAGCCTAGCTCTGGCTGAATTTTTCTGACATTACTCCCCCTTTCCTCCCTTTCTCTCCTTTTTTCCCCTTTCCCCCCTTTGCCCCCCTTCCCCCCTTTTCCCCTTGCCCCGATTCAGACATTTTTGTACCTGCTTTGCAGCTGCAGCTACTTCTTCCAAGGCTTCCCAGATCTGGTCATCCAAAGAGTAGGCTGGTTCTTTAACCCAAAAATCAAGATGAAAATCGATCCCTCTCTCCCCCCAAAATAAGGTAAGAACAAACAAGAAAACCTCAAAACAACACCAGCCAAAAGAGAGAGAGAGAGAGAAAAGCCTTTGAGAGATGAGTCAGCCTCGATGCTTACAATTACGAAGGAAATCAAAGGCCTTAGAATAAACCGTTTGTCATTGCCTCCTGCTCAAAGATAGAGGGCTAAACTTAAGAGCAATCATATGCTGCAGTTGTGCCAGTAAAATTGACACTGTCTTGCTTGCCTTCAAGTCTCTCAAGGCACCAGGAGAATACAAGACAGAAGCAGAGTTAGGGAGGCCAGTGTGCCCAGACAGGAAGCAGATGGAAATGGTGGGGAGTGGGGACAAGTAAGCAGGCTTCAACACCACCAAGAGAGAGAGGCACAGTAGCAGGTTCTTGAGAGCTGAATACTTGTCCTTAGGCCTGGTTTGCCAAGCTCCTCACAGGGAACAAGGTGCCAAGAGATCTCTCTGGCGCCAAAGTGTCTTCCCCTTCCCCTTTCAGCATGCTATGGGGTTGGCCTGAAGTGACCATGACATCAAAAAATACAGGAGAAGGAAGCGGAAAGCGGGGCCTCTCAGTTTTCAGTCTTGAATTCAAGACATTCACAAAAACAATATCCTTAGACAAATACCTGTGGTGGCCCCTGGAGTTAGAGCTAAGTAGAACTAAGTGCAAAGCAGAGCTTTACAATCTCTTAGCTGCGTGACCTTAAGAAAATCAGTTGAATTCTCTGAGCCTCAGTGACTTCCTCTATAAAATGGGGAAATGATACAATACCCATTTCAGCAGTTGTGTGAGAATTAAATGAATAAAGTATGTGTGCTATTTAGCATTGGTTTTTAATAAACACGTTGATCTTGAAGTTTCTTTGCAAAGGGCCTGAGTTTACCAGAAAATATCAGGTTTCAAAAGTAATTACATAAAATTAGAATTTGCATCAATGCATACAACATCTTACTCTGTTCAAGCTCTTTTACTAAATTTGAATTAAATTAAAACAGGTAACGAGATCTTGGGAGACTGTTGGAAATAGATCTTTCTTCTTCAATCTCCAATGGCATCGGGGGCAAGTCTTAAAAAAAACACCATCTTACAAAACGTAGGAAAACTAACCATATAGGTCCATTTTTCAAATGCTATTATTCAGGTTAGTAAAATGCCTATATGTCTCAAAATTTATTTTTCTTTCAAATATCCAATTTTACATTGTCACTGGTGAAAGAAAGCATAATTGTATTTAGATCAGTCAAAGGGCTAGGATATTAGCAGATGCCAAAAGAGAGAGTTTGAACAAAGAGCAGAGGGACACCCAGAGCAAGTCTCCGGCAATATCAAAAAGGGAAACACACATAAGTGGCATCAAGCTTGTTCCTCACGTCCTGCCGAAACACATGGCACAGATGGAGAAACAAATTAACGTCAGAAAGGTCACCCGCTTTGACATTGTGAGGACAGAAATGCTTTCAGCGAGGCATAAATCCACAGCCCTCACATTTTGGAGGACTAATTTACTCCATTGCCCCCATCAAATAGTTTGGGATTGCGCAGTGCTCACTAGTAAACAGCTATGAGAACAAAAGTGGGGACTGCACTGATGCCATCATTTGAATCCTTATAAACTTGGCACTTTATGGCACCATCAGAATTTTGCTCCAAGCCTCTGATTGCTCCTCAGAGTTTGAGGAATCGATAGTGGATGAGGCAGGCATTGCGTCCAGGTTACTCAAATGTCTACAGGCAGTGACAATGGATAAAGACATCCCCAGTAATATATCACAACATAGGGAAAGAGATACAGGTCTCTAGATGAAAACATTTGGGCACCAGTTTGGTCTGCTGGCACAATACCTCATCCATCCCTGAGCATTAATGAGTTAGCTTTTAAGTTGTTATCCTGTAACCTCCATTTCAGCAAAGGCTGCAGTCGTGATGAACAAATTGGCTCATTTTATCCTATGCAGTGATGGTGCCCCAAGATAATTAAATTTGGGGACAGGGTTCTTCAATACGTGAAGTCAGCCCATCACGCCGTAGCCGAAACTCATAAACTGGGGGTAGTACTGTTAAAATATATTGAGAAAGGGTGGGGAGGGGGGACAGCTTCTGACTTCAGAAAAAAAAAAAGAATGTTTCAGGAACTGCTTAGTATATCAGAATGGATCAGAGAGAGAAGGGACCTTAGCCATCACCTAGTCCATAGCCTCCATTCCACAGTTCAGAAAACTGAGGCTCAGAGAGGGACAGGAGTTTGCCCAAAGCCACACAGCAATTTGACAGCAAAATCTAGACAAGAACCCAGTTCTTCTCAGTTCTAGGGCTCTTCCCACTGCCCCATCCACCTTTACTCTTAATAGCTGCCAAATAACGCATGGCTAACTACCAAAATCAAAAGAATGGACACATAATCAAAGTTTGATTCCATAAGCCAGGGGAAGTCCCATCTGAAGGCAGACAACCACCATGTATTACAATCTCTCTGTAAAATAAGTACAGTCATCATTCTATAGAATGTGGGATGCCCTTTTTGAAATGTTATTAACTACAGAAACTACTGGAGCCCAGGATGGTGAAGGGCAATGTTTATGCTACAAACATCCCAAAGGATAGTGTAAACAAGGCGATGTGACACCAAATACAAGGAGCTATAGATATTCTCACTAGTGCCGGCATCACAAGTCCTTTCACCCTTTATCTGTTCTCCCCTTTTGGTTGCTGCTTCTAGTATGTCGTGGCCAAAAAAGTAAAAAATAAGATGTTCCATCAACAGGAGGTAACTTTTGAATGTCTAATTTGTCTCATGCTTCTCATTTTCTCAAAAGCTTTCAATATGCCCATTATCTCTGGGCCTTAGCACACAGTAGGTGTGCAATAAGTGCTCCTTAGGTGAATCATAGGATTATAAACTTTGAGGGTTTTGAGAGAACATAAAGGTCTTGTAATTAAAACAGAAACAGCTATTCGTGATTCATGGATAAATGAATCATGCTATTTTATTCTCACAACAACCCCTGGGAAGGAGGGAGGTGGGGTATTATGTTTCCCCATTTTACAGATAACAACAACCTAGGGCTCGGGAGAGGTTGTGACTTACCTGAAGTTGCACAAAAAAGGCCACGGAGGAATCTGATCTGGGAACCAGCTGTCCCTACCTATCCTCAGGCCAGGCCTTGCCTTTCCCACCAAATCATGGTATTTCTTGGTTGTTCATCTGCTGCCCGGAACCGGGACAGTCTGAACTGTGACTGCATTCTTTCCTAAGAAGGCAGCTGGATTTCTGAGATCTTATTTATGCACACTATTCTTGGGAAATGGGAATAGAGGTAGATAAGATAGGTCAGTTGATCGACTGATTGTTGGCTATAAGTGAAGAAGATGATGATGATGATGATGAGAGAGAGAACTGGCTCAGAAAGACTATTATGAAAGATAGAGGAGAGGAGTAGATAGAAGAAAAAGGCACCAAAAGCCCTGTGTGTTCTTCCCACCACATCCCTCACCCTGGCCTACCCCCAAGCTGACAGGATGTCATCCTGGAAAAGTCCTGAGATATGGACTGGAACTTGGGTTCAAATCCCAGCCTCGCCACATGTAAGATCACACACTCACCAACCAAGTGACCTGTAGCAAATTATCTCATGCTTCTGAGCCTCAAGTTCCATCACCTTACAAAATAAGAATCATGATACCTATTAGGTGTGACTATGGTAAAGATTAAATAAAAGACAGGGCAGAATGAAATAATCCTCCAAAGGACACAGTGCTGTACCAAGGTGAGGAATTGCCCCCCATAATATCTGAAAGTGAAATCTGAGCAGAAGTGCCACTATCTGGAATGAGGCAGACAGTGTCCCCCCTGGAGAGTGCCTTTGTCTCATCCTTTGAAGGCAAAAATGGGTACTCAGCCCCAGTCAGCAGGAAGCACACTTTCAGAGGGGATGAGTTCAACTCTTTCTTCACTGTGTCTTTCAGTGATCAGAGATGAAAGACAACTAACGGTGTGTGGAGGGGGGACAGGGGTTAGTCTAGGCTGTGAAATGTAGACAAAAATGAACTGGCCCACAAAAGGGATTTAGTCTCCACCTTTGTCTTCCACAGCACACTGTGCAAGCCATCTATGCTAGGGATGGGGGAGGAAAGTGGGGAGCCATCTGGAGTGGAAAGCCCTCGTTTCTGCCCTTGGGATCTTACAGCCTAGTTGGAGGTCACATAAATGTCAAGAGCCTTAAGGCCTGTCAAGAAAGGCCCATGGGTCTAATATCATTCTTCTCTGCACTAATTTAAATACATTTCCTCTCCTTTTTTCCTTTAAGGAATATTAAGAATTGACTATTTCCTCAGGTCCACTAGCACTAGGAAGACCCTTACTCAGCTGTAGGTTTTCAGTAACCTTTGATTTATTTTTCCCATCTTCTCAACTCCCCTGTCACCCCAAGCCCCTCTCTTTAAGACACACTCCCTTTCAAACACAAGCATTCATTCCCATTGACATCCATGCACACACACACTCTCAAGCTCTTTCACATATGTATTTTTAGACACACACACACACACACACACACACACACAGAATGTATTCGCTACAAGAGAGAGAAGGAGAGAAATAAGACCCTGCCATCAAGCATTTGTACCTGCAGACCACAGCTGGGGCTTCTACAGAGTGGGCATAAGACAGAAAAGACCAATGGAGATACTCCCCCAAACTGTCTGGACAGACCCCTAGAAAGGAAATCTCTAGAATAAAGTTGTTCTCAGAATCTATGCTGAGAGCTACCTCTTCCCCATCTTTGTTTCCCCACCCCCACCTGCTTCTCTTCTCCTTTGATTGTATCTTCCCCCAACAAGCATCCAATTTGCTGCCAGTTTTCTTTCTCAAAATCCTGTCTAAGTGGATGTCATAGAGAATTGGGGCTGTGGGAGATGTTTTCCCCGGCAGTTGTCATGCTAAGAATGGTATTTTAAAACTATATTAAAATAACCATATTTTTAAAAATATCAGGTCTAACTACCTATCTATCCCCTCTTCAAAATTAGACCACCGTCTCGGCTATGATGCAGTGAAAAAAACCCTAGACCAGGAATCGGGAGGCCTGCCTAGTTACTAAGCTGCTGAGTGGCCTTGGGAAAGTCGGTGAGCATCTCCAAGCCGAAACACAACTGGGGTAATTTATCATCCTGTCTATCTAAGAGCACGGCAGAAACACAGCTCTCAAGTCTGCGGAGTCCTTGGTATTTCCACAGGACTTCCCCAACTCCAGGACACAGGGCCACACTGCCACTGTCCACAGCTGGGAAGAAAGGGCGCCCCTCGCCCCTCCGCAGGCCTAAGGGCGCCAGAGAGCGGAGGGGTTTAAGCGGGTCTCCTGGTCTCTCCCTCCTGCCACTGCAGCTCTACTGTCTGCCCTTGACCCTCTTCCCCTCCCCCCCTCACCCCCCTGGCTAGCTGATGGCGGAGGGAGGGAGACAGGGACTAGAACCCGCCGGGCGCGGACTTTGCGCCCTCTGCCTCGGAGGCTAGTCCTGGGCCTCCGGCTGCCACCCTGCAGCAGAGCGCGGCCTTCTGGCTGGGGTGCGCCACGCGCGTCCCGCCCCGGTGTGGCTCCAGAGAGCGCAGAAGCTGCAAAGTTAAACAAAGCCCCGCGGCGCGCAAAGACCCCTCTCAGCTCCCACTCCCTGCCAAGAATGCGAAAAATTAAAATGTTGCTCGCGAGCTCGAGGTTTGAACATAGAACGCGAAACCCTGGAACTTGAGCAGCACTCGCGGGCTTCCTCTCCATCCCTCACGTCGGGTCCTCTCTCGGGGACCCTCACCTCCCACTCTAGCCCCTCAGTGAGCTGCACTCAGGTCCCTGGAGCCCTGCCCCTGCACTACCTCTTGGCGACTCTTCTGGTCCGGCCAGAGAATAAGTCGCTGCGTGACCCGCTGGTCAGTCGTGAGGCTCGGCCACGGCCCGTCCTGGGACGAGCTGCAGGCTCAGCGAGCACTTAGCTCTGCCACTCAGATTCCCCCACTCTCTGTAAAGCCTTCCGCGGTGGGGCAGGGGCTGATTCATAGCAATTTTCCACGCAGCAGCCAGCTGAGTGCCTTACGCATACCTGTTTGCTAAATTCCCTGGGCTACTCCCACTGTTTCTCGCTGTACCCCACAATCTTCGCTCCCTTTAGTCAAAGCTGATCTCTCCTTCAAGATTCAGCCCAAGGGTCCCTTCCTCTGAGTGCTCCAAATTTCCCCTCCTCTGGCCATGCTACACAATCTCACATTACAGGCGAAGGAAAGGCAGAAGTGGAGGTTTAGATGGCTAAGAAACTTACCAAAGGGCACAGAGATAATCAGTGGCAGAGTCAAGAGGAAGACCCAGAACTCCTGGACCGAAGCTCAGCGCACTTTTTGCTACCTTTCATTGCTTTCCCTCTGCCCTTATTTGTATGGCACTGGAGGGCAGGGAACATCTCTTGCTGGCCCTTTGCTCTCAGGGACTGCACCAGAAATAACCCCCTTCCCTCCTTGCCTCAGGCTTCTAGCTCCTTGTTTCCCATCTTGTCCAGGGCCTCTGCTCTTGCAAACTCAGAGACAAAAAGGTCATTTTGTTCAAAGTCCAGGGCAAAAGCAAACAGAAGCTGACTTCACAGAGTCCTCTACCCACCTGGATGAGAATGGTCTCAGTAACCCCCCCCCCCGGGCAACACACAAACAAAACTATAGTCTTCATCTTTCTTTTCGTACCTTCTTGGCACCTTGCGAAATCAGAAGGCACTCACACCTGCCCAAACCATCTTACCTTCTAATACCTCTTCCAAAAAATGCTGCCCTTCCAATCTGCAGCCCAGCACTGATAAGTACAAATCACTGTTCAGCCAAGCAAAAATATATTATGCACAAGTACTAAATATTCTCATCTGATGCAACAAGGGTAATACGGGGTTATAAACGCAAGCTCTCAAGTGGGGAGAATTTCAAATATGCAATTACACCCCCTCCCAACTGGATTTTATCCTCTCCTGGACAAAGTAAATGGACAAAGGGAGGGTGTTGTTGATGCAGAGGGACAGGAATGGAAAAAGAAAGAGGAGAGTCAAGAATGCCAGAGACTATGGGTGACCCTGGCAAGAGGGAAGGAGCAGGAAGCAGAGCCTGGGCAAAGGAGAGAAGGAATGAGAGGGAGGGGGGAGGAAAGTGGGCAGATGCTGACTCCAGGTGTACACAGATACTGGGGCAGCCCAGGGAGACATGGACTGACTCCCCAAAGGCTCAGGGAGGTGGCTCTCGGGGACCTGGACTGGAAGTGAGATCCAGAAGCCCGGTGGCAAGTGTCTCTTCTTCCCTAGCAAAGGGAGAGAGCTTTTGGCTCCAGCAGCAGAATGGGTGGCGCTCTTTATACTTGAAGTACCACCTCACCATCATCAGGACCAGGAAGATGCCCTCTTCTCCTCCTCCTTCCTCCCACTCCTCCCCCCACAGTAATTCAATAAATCTTACCCAACACAGGAATGTAATTTGAATGCTCAGGGCAGTTTTCCTTTCCATTGAAGAAGAGGATCTCTCCCTCTCTTCCTGCTGAAAATGGGTTGGATGCTGCCCCTTTATACATTCTAGAGCACCAGATCAGGAGACGGGGGAAAGGGAGGGAGCTGCAGTTTGAGGCTGGTCCAAATTGTCCCTGGCATCTCTCTCTCTCTCTCTCTCTCCCCCCCCTTTCTCTCTCTCTCTCTCCCCTGTTGGATTTTTCTGTAGCCCCTCCTTCTGGCCCTGGCAGCTCTGCTCCCCTTCCTCACTGCAGCATCCTGAGCCACTTCTCCCACTCTTGTGATATGGGACTGATATTGGGGAGCATCTTTCTGGCGATGCTTGCTTTCTAATGTGGGATCTTAGACTGATATACCAGGGAAAGATTTTAGTTGGGAGTGGGTGGGTGTCACAGAAGATGAAAAGAGAAACCCATTCAGGTAGCCAACTGCCTTGTCAGGAAAGCAACACAAGTCAGCGTTGGGGGCCGTTGGGAGTCATGATTTGAACCCGAGTGCATGCGGAGCCAATTTAGGCAGAAGAGCGACAGGTTGTTGGCTTGGGTTACAGTGATTGCCTTGGTAACATAAATACATAAATACTGCACAATATATTAGTGAAAAGGTAGATCACTGAAGATCACTCAGTCTGTTTTCTTAACTGCAAAATAGGGGAGTAAATGCTCACCCTATAGCACCATGGGGAAGAGCGTGTGAAATAGCATCAGTAAAGTACTTAGCACATGGCCTGGCACAGAGCCCCTTGCCCCCTGAACTTCCTTCTGGTGTTGGCCACAGGAGGGAAAAGAGCTTTCCCAGGGTCACATAGCAAGTAGCAGAGTCAGGATTGGAACTCAGGTATCCCAAACACCACCCCCCCCAAGAAGGGTGCTTTCCACTTCACTTCCTCCTCTAAGAAGGCTGTCAGGGCTCTCCTTGGGGACACGGCTGGAGTGGAAGTGGGGAGGTGGGTTAGGAGCCAATTCTATGCATCTGTATATAGAGACTCTATCACTTAGCACCAGCCCCAGGGGCTCAGGCCTCTGCTTCATCCCCACGCTCATCACCACTCAGGTAATCTCCCCATGCCATCTTGGACTGATTCATTGCCACTTTAGCACCACCCCTGCTGCTCAGCTCTGAGACTGTGAGTCACCCTCTAGCTGGCCAGGGCCTCTGCCCTCCAGGAAAGAGGCTTTCTTCTTAATTGACTGCAGAAGCCTCAGCCGCAGTGGAACAACGCCCTTCCAGGCAGCCTGAGAGATGGACAGCTTTGAGGAGGAAAGGAATAGCCCCCTACCCCAAAGCCTTCGTCCTCTTCATCCCCACAGTGCCTGGGGTGCCACTATTGGAGTCCTCTCTCCGGATTCCTTATGATAACTCCTTTGGTGCCCTCAAGTCTCAGCGTTTCCAAAAGATTTTACCCAGGACATGTCTTTGCCGCATGTATACTGCCACAGTGCTGCGTCTGGCACTGTGCTAGGCACCCGCAAGACATAAGGTAAGAGATGTCCCTGGCACCCAATGAGTGTTCACGACAATTTTTTTTAAAAAGATTAACGTGGCAACTTGGAAAGGAGGAGAAGAACACAGGGAGAAATAAAATAGGAAGTACCTGTGAGGAGTGGAGGTGATGGACAGAAGGGCCTTGCCGCAGCCCCAAGGACTGGGGCTGTGACCTGGAATGTCTTGTGACTATCAAGTGGCATCACTAAAATCACTGGTACAAGCATTTCCCTTAAACACAGAACATCGCTTAAGTAATTGAATGCTAACGGAACCCCTGTCTGTCCTCTGCCTTTCTGGCCTGGCTTGGGGGCATCATCTGGTGGCCATATATCCCTCCCTCTGATTCCCCGGTGCCCCAAACTTTCAAATCTTTATCTTTAATTAGGGTTGGGGAGACGAGGAGGGACTGGAAAGGAACGGAGGTCTTCCAGATCTTAACTGGGATAAGCACTTTGCATGTGTTTCCTCCTTCCAACTTCACGACCACCCCGCCGACCTAAGTCAGTGGCTTGCTAAGCTAGGCGGCTAAGCCTGCAGAGTCGGGATTCGAACTCCAAGGACTCTCAGAAGCCTCTGGCACCGAGCTTTACAAAATGCGCCGCAGGGGGCAGATGTCCTCTTCTTCCACCTCTCTTCCACCCGCTGTCCATCTCAACAGAAGGGATGAAAGCAGGCGACGAGAGCCAGATGGTGATCTGGCCGCGGAGCCTTCTGGAGTGACCCCTGTATCCTGTAGCCTGTACCTCAGAGTTTCCTGCTGGGGCTACTTCGCCCCACCTTTGGCGACTCTACCGCCCCCTACCGCCGGTGGCTCCCCGCCCTGGCCGCTGTTCTCAGGAGGGCTTGTGCGCTAAGAAAACAAAACACACAAAAAAACTCACCGGTTGCCCAAGAGCTGTCACAGACTGTTGCGGGCTGCAGATAGCTCTACCAGATTTGGTGACATAAGCGGGAAGGAGGAACATTTATGACGCCCTACTATGTGTCCAGCGCGGGGTCAGTGATTTTTATGCAGAAAATTATTTGCTTTGCAAAATAGTGAGTTCTCCATTAAGAAAAGTCTTCAAGCTAGGTTAGGACAGGTTTCGCAAAAAGCTTCTCTGCAGATCTAAACTCCTTACTTCTTGAAACCAATAAAGCCCTCCACCCTTAACAGTCCCACTCTCTCAGGGAGAGGAGGAAAAAGCACCCCCTGTGGGGCAAAGGTCAAGGCGGTGTAAGGGTTTGGGGGAGAGTGCAGGAGGAGGAGCCTCCCGGGGGGTCGATTATACGAGGAAGCAGGGTCCCCGCCGAGCCTTCACGCTCGCCACACGCCGGCGGATTCCCCCGACCTTCCAGTTTTCCTGGGTTGCGACTGGATCCCGCCTGGACCCAACTCAATCCCTTTGCTTGGGACGGGGGAACAGGCGCTTTAAGGGGCAACACCTCAGGTCAAAGGGAAAAGAGCCTCTGTGCCTGCACCGCCTCGCCGGCCCATCCCCCCTCTTCCTTCCCCTCCTCCCCTCCTCGCCCCCTTCTCTTCCGCCCAGAGGGAAGGAGGGGGCGGGCTGTGTGTGTATGTATGTATGCATGTACGCGTGTGTGCGCGCGCGCGCGGGTGCGGTTCGTCTGTGTGTGCGTTCGGTGTGTGGCTGGGTGTGGGGTGTGTGTGCGCGGCGCACGTTTTAGCCCGAGTGCTTGGTGTGGAGTGTATTTGGTTTGCGCTCGGACATGGAGCATGTGTTTTGTGCGGTGTTTGTGCACGCTTCTAGGTTGTACGTTTCTGCCCGATTATAGTGTGACTGTGTGGGTGCGATCCGGATGTGGGTGTGTTCGATGTATGGTTTCTGCCGGGGTTTGTGGCCGTGCTGTGGTGAGTGTGTAAATGTGTGCAGTGTGCATGCCTGTTGAACCTCATGTGCATATGTGTGTTTGGTGTGTGTTTACCCTTAGATGTATTGTGCCAATGTGAGTTTACGGGTGGTGTTTGTTGGGGTGTATAGTGTGTGAGTGAGTTCATGAGCGAGATGTCTTTATGTGAGCCTACTTAAGGTGTGTGTTCAAAGGTTCATGTGCATGAAGGTGTGGGGTGTGTGTGTCTTTGGGTGTGATGTGGTCATGTGTGTGGCGGGGTTGCATGTGGCTAGTGTATGTGCTCAGATGGAGAGTTGGAGACCGTGTGTATTTTGGAGTGGGGTTGCAGCCTGAGTGTATGGGTATGGTGTGTGAGAGAACAGGGTTGTCTAGAGAATCCAAGTGACTGTGTGCTTGGTGTTTTTTTTTTTATTTTTTATTTTATTTTATTTTATTTTATTTTAGTTGGGGGTGGGAGGCGTTGCGCCAGGACTGGGACGAGGAAGGAGGTAGGGGTCCGCGATTTGGGCAGGGTCGCCCGCTGGC